ATCATCATCATCATCATTTAATCAATTAATCATTTAAACAGTGAAAACTCGTTTATCTTATCTCCACTTGATCCACATACTAATCACCGAGACAAGTGATCTAAAATATAATCCTCTTAATCTATACAATAATTACCCCCGCAGTGTCAACACAGAAATAATCAAGTGCGCGTTTTACTGAATTGCGATTGACACTGATAACTCCAATCATCACTCGCGAATTAAGATTTATCTCCCTTTTTGCAAAATAGAAAATGTTGAAACGTGGATCATAAAAACTTAATGAATTTCAATACAAGATAATCATTAACGTGCCGATAATTGTTCGTGACAAAATGAGAATTGAACAATCGATTTTTTCCACTGAAGAAAATTCTTGAATAAATTTCAAAATCTCGGGATTTCCACTCCATTAATTTTATATTAATCATTATTTTTGTTTTTAATAATTCATTAACAAATCCCTGATCTGATAATTAATTCAGTAATTAAGTAATGGATAAATAAATTACAATCCTATTGTAATTATTCGTCGATAATCATTTATAATTGAATTATTATTTTATATAAACAATTTTGATAAATGAAAAAATCTCGTTTTAAAATTGTTATTGTAATCCCTTAATTGTTGGTTATTTTGATTAACGGAGACATAACTTTGAAGGGATTATTTTTTTATGAACAATTAACGGTAATGGTAATTATTTACGGTTTGTTGCAATTGTCAATTTTTATTGCGCGCTATTCCGTAGAGTTTAAATAGAATTTTCCTCATCTATTCAAATCCGATCCTTCAGTCTCGGTTACTGAGTTTTAAATTACAGTAAAGCATTTCTATTGGCAATTTAAATAATATTTTCCCCAGGTGTTTGTCGTTTTATCGGTATTTTCAATAAATAATTGCGGAATAACTTTTTTCCCTGCGGAATGATTTACAATTGCGGTGATAATTATCAGCAAACCGTGAAGGTAACACGCACGTAGCGTCAATTTCATGTCTGTCATTAAAGCGGATTTCCGTTGGACATACAATTGTTTAATAAAATGGTTTTTGTTATTTTTAAAAACAATTTTACACCGAAATCGGTAAACGATTCAATTTATCGCCGAGTTTTTCGGGGATATCTCCGAATTAGAGGCAGATACAGAATTTCTTTATACCACCTTTTTTGGAGCCTTCCATTTTTTACATAAAAAAGGTTCCAATGATAATTTTGATATCGACAATATATTTCGAGATATCCACTGAAAACCGGGATGTCGTCGAGATCGGTTTGCGGTGCGGCTGGAATTTCCCAGAAATTGTTGTAAAAATTACAATATTTAATTAATTTTCAGACATATTCAAGGGGAGACGTGAATATTATTGTAATTGGCGTTCCACTGTATTGCGTAATTCTTTCTAATTTCCAATGTTAAAAGGTTATTGCATGCTATTGCGCCTATTTTTTTTGTGGTACGTGCACCGAGTACTCGATTCCTCGAGGATGTCTTCATTTTCATGACCTCGCGTACTTAATTATTGAGCAACATCGACCCCCAGACAAATTACTTAACAATTCGATCGAAAGAAATTTTTTAGTTTAATTTCCAATGCCACCAGAAATTCTCTTCGCGTTCGATTTTCCTTGGAGTTTCAGAAAATTCTGGGAAAATTCGGGGGAATCGAAAAAAAAATATTCAAGTTATAATCAATTGTTTTATTGGTATAATTAGAGGGGAATTAATAACATTGTCGGTTTTTTAAGTCAATTGTTGTGGGAAAATGTGGAAAATCCGGGGAAATTGTGGGAAATTCGGAAGATTTGAAAGTCGCCGCGTCCTTTCATTTTAGTTTGGTTGAATTTTCTTATCGGTTTTTTCCAGTGTCATTAGTGCGCATTCTTATGACGATGACTCGTATATTTTCCATAAAATTTCCCGGAATTTTGTTATTAGAATTCCAATTCCGATTTCTAGGAAAATGGAAAGAATCGGTGACAACTGTGAAGATCAATTCAATCCTCTCCCGAGAATTAATTGAAATGCGGAAAATTCGAGAAGCGCAAAATTTTCTTTTTGTGTTTTCCAAATATTTAACAATCGATTTTTAACAATCGATTTATCTCGAAAAGTATCGATTTTAGGAGAAACTATGAAATAACTTTATTTATCTTAAATTTCATTACCTACAAGAAAGGTTCTGATCATTTTTTTGATCAATCGATATCTTCACATGAAAAAATGGAATTTTCCATGCGCGTGAGAAATTCGCGGTTTAGAATTCGGAATTCCACTTTTTCCTCTCGAGGAAACGATCAGCAATTCAATTAATGCACACCGCAATTAGCACATCTCCTAATATCTCGATTGAAAGCCTCAATTGACGACTTGTTTTGGTCCAATTAACAATCCCCGAGTCATCTTCAATGCGTTAATGAACAATTCCCGAGAATTCTTCCACATTGACTCGCGGTTTTTCCGAGTTTCCCTTTTCACTTTCTTTTTTCTCCTCCCACCGATCGGCGCCAACGTGCCACAAATTCTTCGTCAAAACCGAGAATTATATCCCCGTATTGCGTAAAAAGTCATTACCCTACAAACTAGTAATTACCGCTATTACAAGCAATAGATAAAATTCAGTTGTGAAGCAGCAAAAAAAAATAAATTACTCAACTTTTCACCGGAAATGGCGATTTTTTTCAAGACCTCATGACAATTTGAATTTATAATTAATTTTTTTTACTTCAATATTAATTTTTTAGAATATTATTGAAAATTACTTTTTCTTATTCTAATCCTATTTTATTCGAATAATAATTATATTAACAAATAACAATACCAACAATAATAATTATTATTTGTATTATTATTATTGATTTATTCATATAATTTTCTGAATTTAACTGACAAATTATTATTGTTTAATTGAATATTTAAGAATTCACAGAATAAATTTATATCATAAATAAAATAATAATTAATAGTAGATAATAAAAATATAATGATGATAAAATAAAAAAAATATATTATTCAACTTAATTTATTTTACAATTAAAATTTATAATTAATTTCACGGCGTGATGGAATTTTCTTTTTTTTATGAATTTCTTCGCTGAATTCAGAAATAGTTTAATAAAAAATTGTCGATTTCCTCGTGAAATAAACATGAATAATTTCAGATAGTGTAATGTTTATAGCGTTTTTTAAATAATTATACAGCCTTGACAGCTCGACAAAGAGCGGATTGCAATCGCGTTCCGCGTTTTATCGAGATTTTTAATATAATCCGGGGTTTTCAAGCTGCAACAATTCCACGTGATTAATAAACTTTTATAGCGCTTTTTATTGTTTATTTATGATGTTCGCGTAATTATTCTCTGATGGGGCTATTAATTAACATTTGAATTGAGGATGCACGAGTCCTTTGGCTATTTTTTCCGATCCATCTTCGGAAAATCAATTATTCTCTCTTTTTTCCATGACCTCCATTACTTCATCCACAGAAAATATTTCATATTGTCTGGAAAAATCTGTGAATAAATTATTTCTCACCATTTTTTAATGGATAATTAGAAATTGTTCAATTGGAGATAACAACAATTTCAAATTGATGATTAATAATTAATTAAATTATTTAATCTATGAATAAATTATTTCTCACCATTTTTTAATGGATAATTACTCCAGAAATTCTCTTAATTGTAGAAATTAGAAATTGTTCAATTGGAGATGACAACAATTTCAAATTGATGATTAATAATTAATTAAATTATTTAATTAGGCGGAAATTGATTTCGAGTTTTATTATTTTATTAATATTTTTTATTATTTCATTACCATTACCATTGCCATTTATTTATTATTAATCTCTAGACCTTAAATTTATTTTAACAATATTCAATAATAATCATGTGTTTTATTTATTTTTTTTGTTATGTTTATTGTTGGATTGGATGTTATTATTACTTTTAATTGTTGCATTGTAAAATGCGATTCGTCAGTCGAAATGGAAAATGTGAATAGAAAAAAATTGTTGAAAATTCTGTTGTCCTTTTTTCTAGATTTTATTTTCAGTGTCCGGTGTACTCTGGGAATAATTGAGATAATTGTAGACGTGACTTACAATTAATGAACAAACGTGTAATTGTTTCGTGACAGCAATGAAAAGACACGATTCATTGAGCATTTGTATCAAGGCATTGCGTCACGCTTCGCAAGTCTCGAATTCGTGTCACAATTGCAAGTTCATTTTATTTTGATAGAAATTTCTGGAAATTACGGGGAAAATATGTCAGAATTTCCCAAAAATCTCGAGTATAATTTCCTGGAAAAATCGCAGTAAAAATTCAAATTTCGTGTTTCAATTCAGAGAAACGAAACTTCAATAATCGCTAGTGAAATTCCATTCGATTTCCTTTTTTATTGTATTTTTCCCGCTATTTCCACATTTTTTAAACTTCAAATTTAAATATAACAGAAATTCTCGCAAGTTTCAAATATAATTCCTCGGAAAAATCGCGGTTAAAATTCAATTCGAAACGAAACTTGAGTCCACAGCGATAAAATTGCATTTGCCTTTTATTTCCCAAGTATTTTTATGCACCAGAAAATTACGCGGAAAATAAAACAATGTTTTCAAATTCCACACATAATCTATTGAAAAAATCCCTATAAAAATTCAAGTTTACCCTGTAAATTCCAAAAAACAAAACCAGAACATCTTCAATTAAAATCTCATCAATTCCCATTTTTCCGCTAATTTCCCCCGAATTTTCCCGCAAAACAATTGTATTTTAACCGAATGAAAAACGAATTTCGCAAATTGACGGCATCCTCTCAATTTTTCCACGCAACTCGTCTCTCCATGAAAAAAATTCTTTCCGTTTTCAGTTTTAAAAAAAGAACAATCATCGGACTGATAGTGGGACTGTGCATAGTAGTTGGAATAATCATAGCTGTGGTGATACTGACGAGAAAAGGTGACAAACATGATTGGGAGAATAAATTCGTGAGCGAATCAATTTTGGGAGAATATCAGAGGGTGAGTATTACAAACCCCAAGGCGATCTCCCTCTGTCGAAGCTAAAAATAATGTTTTATCTCAATTGTTTATTGATGTAAAGGCTGCGGTCGTGACGAATGGACTCGAGTGCTCAGAAATAGGTGTTGAATTCCTGAAGAAGAATGGATCAGCAATGGATGCTGCAATTGCTGCACTCCTGTGCGAGGGTGTCACATCTTCCCACAGGTACATCTCTAATTAAATTAATTTATCAAAAATGTTAATTTAATCCAATTAAATTGAATTGAATTGAATTTGTTAATCAATTTATTAATCAATCAATTAATCAATTTCATTTCATTCCACTCGCTGAATTCACGTGGATTATTCATTATTATAAATAATAGACAATTCAACATTGTAGCCACGAAATATTATTTAACTTAAATATTATGTTTAATATAATAATTATTTTAATCGCTCGATTTCTTATCAGAAATTGAATTTTTTAAGTCATTGAGGGAGGAATTTAATTTTTCAAGAGAACACATTACTAATAGTGTACAATGGCGGGCTCTTTTATGAATTATCAATTATTATAAATTAATTTCTCAACGATTCATTGGTTTTCTAGTATGGGAATTGGTGGAGGATTTTTGATGACAATTTGGGACGCGGAAAAAAATGAATCTGTTTTCCTCGATGCCAGGGAAACAGCACCTGCTGCTGCCCACGAAAACATGTTCAAGGGAAATGCATCACTCTCATTTTTCGGTTTGTACAATTATTTTCAATTATTTGTTTATCGAGGAAACCGAAATAACTCGAAATATCTAATTAATTAATTTAATATTTCATCTCTATTATTTTATTTCTTCAGGCATTGTTAATATTATGGAATTTCGGGAATATTGATATTTAATGAAAGTTTTAATTTTCAGAAATTAAGCAAGAAGATAATTTTTTTTTTCTAATAAACCGTAATTTTTCAATTAATGAAAAAAAATTATGAATTAAATAATTTGCATTTAAATAAATTGCATTTTCAGGTGGATTGGCTATCGCAGTTCCTGGAGAACTTGCAGGATATTGGGAAGCTCATCAGAAATACGGAAAACTTCCTTGGAAGGATTTATTTGAACCGACAATTGCTCTGTGCTCCGAGGGAGTCGTTATCAATGAATATCTCGCCTCTCATTTGAAGAGTAAAGAGCATCTGATATTGGAACAGCCGAGTCTAGCCGAAATCCTCATCAATCCAAAAACCGGCAGGACCTGGACGGTAATTATTCCGAAATAAAATAATTACATTATAATATAATTTGGATTAATTATTCAGGTTGGAGACAGATTCTACAGACCGAAATTAAACACAACGCTGAAGTTGATAGCAGAACAGGGTCCCAGCATTTTTTACAACGGTTCAATAGGGGAACAGATCATCAAAGATATTGAGGACTTCGGGGGAATCATGACGATGGATGATCTGAGAAATTACGAGTGAGAAATCATTTTTTTTTTAAATCCCATGATTTGAATTTTAGTTGAGCTTAATATGAAGATATTTTGATACCTATCGATTTTCTCAGGAAATACCATAAGACCTTTTTCGGAGGAAATTTAATCAGCTACAAAAAAGTTTTCTAGTATTTTTATCTTTGATTGATAGCTTTTGAGATAATTGGGGATTGAAAAAAAATTGAATACGAGATAATCGAATTTCATGACTTTGGGAAATACCCGTATATCTCGAAACGTATCGATTTTCCGCGGGGATACATCGGAATATTTTTTAGAGGAAATTTAATCAGCTACCAAAAAGTCCTCTACCGTTTTTACCTCAAACTGATAGTTTTCGAGATAAATCACTAATCGTGAGAAATTCCAGGCCAAAATGGAAAACCCCAACCAGAGCAACAATCGGAGACATGACAATTCTCTCGGCACCGCCTCCTGGTTCCGGATTAATCCTGTCCTTCATCCTGAACGTCCTCGAAGGATTAGTTCCAACTCCGAGCGAGGGAGACTTCTGGCAGCGAATAGTGGAGGCCTTCAAGTGGGGATACGCCAGGAGAACACAACTAGGAGATGACGCCTTCGAGGATCTAAGTACATCCACATCATCAAACAAATCAAGTCTCTCAATAAAAAAATCCAATACTCATTCAATCTTTCTTGTCAATCAAATCCAGGTGAAATAAAGGCAAATCTCTCATCTAAAAGATACATAGAGGAAATCAGAAGTAAAATAAAGGACGACTGGACCAGCACTCACCCAAAATACTACGGAGTAGACGTAGCCGTTCCCAACGACTCCGGTACTTCCCACGTGTCTGTCCTAGCTCCTGATGGATCAGCAGTGTCTGTTACATCAACAATAAACCAAGTGTAATTATTCTTCAATGACAATAATCACCAGATAATTAAATGACAGAGAAAAAAATAATGCAAGAAAATTTTCACAGGAAGTAGTTGAGTAATTGAAAGAGTAATTCAACTGTACGATTTTTTTTTTCTGTCAAATATTTTCGGTCAGAACAGATGTCAAATAATAATCCAGGAAATTCTGATGATTTAATTTAATTAGATTTGGGGCAATGAGACGATCGGTGTCAACTGGAATAATCTTCAATGATGAGATGGATGATTTCAGTACTCCGGGGATGTCAAATGGCTTCGGCCTTCCACCATCTCCGAAGAATTTTATCAAACCTGGAAAAAGGCCCATGAGTTCGATGGTACCCACGATAGTGGTGAGTCCCAACTAAATCAATAACAAACAATTATTAATTACATTCTCCAATTATTGATATAAAAATTCCATAATTACCCCCATTAATCAATTAATTAATCAATTATTAATTCATTGTTTATTCCTATTGATAATAATGAAAAATAAGAATTTTTTTATTAATTATTGATTAATTTTTAAAACGCAATTTCAATGTCAATGTCAATTCACGTTAATCTCGTTAATTAATCTCCCCTCTTCGATTTTTATTAGAGTGATTCTATAAAAAGCTTGGGGTACTGTAAATTTAGAAGAAAATTGCCTCATTATTTTGATAAGAGACAATCAAGAGGATGATAAAGTATATTTGAGGGAATGAACTTTGAATTGAATTTCTGATTATCTTTTTATTAGATAAATTCTAAGAATGAAGTGCAGATGGTCATTGGAGCTGCTGGAGGCTCAAAAATTCCCAGTGCAGTGGCTCTTTCGATGATTCTGAATCTCTGGACAGGATACAACGTGAAGGAGGCTGTGGATGCTCAACGTCTTCATCATCAGGTCCTACCCATGAGGATTGATGTCGAGAAGGGCTTCTCACAGCCTTTACTCAGGCACATGATCGAAATTGGTCACAATACCTCATACTTCAGGGGAATTGGAAGTGCAGTCTGTGCCATCTCGAAGATCAACGCCAAGGGAATATCCGCTAACTCGGATTATCGTCGACAAGGAGGTGTTGCTGGATATTAAAACTGTAGATAACAATTTATTATTCATTCACTCAGTGGAGGACTGAATGGAACCCCAACAACAATCGAGAATAACTCGAAATCCCCAGATTGGAATTCAACGATTTTTCATTCATTTTGAAGATCTGATTTTGAGGTATAAAATGAAAAAAAAAATCATTAGATTCCAATCGTCAGTTCTTGAGTTATTGACCATTGAAGACACTCCATTTTGCCCTCTAGGAAAAAATTCCATAGAAAAACATTGTCCCTTAATTTCTTCCAAGAAATTATTATTTTTTATTGAAATCCCAAGTATTTCACGAGTTCAATACAATTTTCTCGTCCTTCCACGATTTTTCTACGAATAATTAGACATAAATCTCATAACAAAATTGCAAAAGAATGATTCATCCAAAAGAATTGATAAATATTGACATTTCCAAGTGGAATTTCCCAGGAATTTTGTACCCAAAGATCCCAGATTTCTCTGAGAAATTCTTCCTCACCACGTCATCCACGTGAATCATGTAAAGCGACGTAAAATGTAAATATATAAAATTTTTTTATTTATTCAACGTTTAATCACTCGAATCCACATTTGTACATTTTAATTATCACATGCAGGGAAAAAAGTCCTTGAATTCTATCCCCAAACAGCAGAAGTTCCCGCATAAAAATCACTCGGTGTCAGAACTGCTCTCCGAGAGCTTCGCCTCCTTCCTGACAGTCCTCCTGGGCCTGGAGTTTTTCTTGGACATTCCAGGCCCCTTCCTAGACTTCCTAAACACCTCGATGGCCTTGAGTTTCTTATCCAGTGCATTCTTCTTATCCTTCTCCCTCTGAGGGATCACCTCTTCACATTTCCCACCTTTCGTATCAGTCTTCCTGTCAATTACCTTTTCCTCTCCCTCGACATCGGCTACACCATCAGGTCCAATAGTCCCACAAAATCCACCAGCCTGATCCATTTGCTTCCCTCTCCCTTTCTCCCTCTTCCTGACAGGCTTCCCCACCTCCTCAGGATCCTTCCCCATCCTTTCAACAGCCTTCTGCACCCTCTTGCTGATCCCCTCTTCAATTGCTTTGGGAACACTCCTGACCTTGAAATACGCCATGATATTCCTCTGGGACTTGGCCTCGAGCCTCTTCATCACAGGCCCCATAGTCTCCTCGAACTTCGCCCTGGTCCATCCAAATTTCTCTCTAGTGTAATCCCCCAGGAGTACAAGATTGGGTTTACCCCAGGAGAAGGTCTCCCTGCTCTCATCGACTGTTGGAAAAAGATATGCCTGGGCGACAGCCTGGCTGGGGAATCCTCTGTCCACAGCAACATTTTTCAATTTACTCCTCAAAGATGCTCTCCCAGGCCCCACAATCCTTCCGCCTCTCACCCACAACGAAAAATTCCTCAGACCCCTGAGTATATCATCCCCTTGACCTGGAAAACTCGCAAGAATTTCCATAGCCGTGACTGGACCAATTCCCGAAATTCCCACAGTGTAATCACTACCCACGAGAAGAGCCAGCTGTATCATCTGCTCTCTCGTCAGCTTGAAGTGGTGCTCGATGTCTTTCGCCAGGTACTGCATCACACTTTTGGCGTTGTTGAAGAAATTTCTGTATACGCATTTTCCACCGAAGAGCCAGATGTCGGAGTCATCGGTTATGCTGCCATCGGTGAGATTAATGGCCTCGAGGTAGGCGCACTGGGCCTCTGCCTCTTGGGGTGCCACTACGTAAGGAATTCCGAAGAGGCCCAGCAAGTCCTGAGCGTCTGCTCGCATCTGCTCGGTCACCTCGGTCGACTGACGATCCAGTTTACCGATGTTCTGCTTTAATTCCTTCACCTCGGTTTCTAGTTGAGTTTTCAGGTCCTCCAGGTGCTCCTCTTTCGAGGATTTCGCGAGGAGATCGAATTTTTCAGAGGCGAGACGTGTCAGGATCGATGTTATTCTCTCAGAGGGATTTTTTGGAGGAGATTCTTTGAGAGTTTCAGGTGCTTCAGGGGATCTTTCTTGGGCATCAACTGCTGGTGGGGATTTTGGAGGGATTTCTCCTGGTAAATCCTCACTTACTGGATTTTTTTCTTTTTCAGGGGGAGTTGTTTTGTCTGGTGACAGCTCTGGAAGAGGTTCCACCCGTTTTATTGGGGATTGTCCAAGCTCTTCAAGTCTTTCCAAATTTGTAAGACCTGCTGACAAATCTTCATCTATTCTCTCTTTTTGGTCTTCAGGACGTGATGGAATTTTTTTTATAATAAATTCTTCAGAACGTTCGCCTTGTTCTTCAGCAATATCCACATCTATTACTTGTTTTTCGTTATTTTCATTCCTCTCCTTCGATAAATTATTCATTTCTTTTTTTTCGTGATTTAATATCGCAATTTCTTCGTCTTCGCCCGAAATTTCTGGCACATGATTTTTAATGAATGATTTCTCAGGTGGCGATGTCTCAGAAGAAATGTTCAACGAATTCTGCAAGTCCCCAGATTTTTGTCCTCCATCGCTGCTATTTCCAGGGTTTAACGTAAAATTTTGAGTCTCATGATTTCCCTGGAACACATCAGCAAACAAATCATCACCATCAACTCCACTCCCAGGCTGAATCACGATCTCCATCTTCTCAGGCATCAACAGTGAAATCTCCACGTCCTGGACCTCGACAAAATCCCCTGAGTCATCAGACTCACAGCCTCCATTATCTTTCTCCTCGTCAACTCCAATCCCTGCCTTTTCCTTCGACAAATCCTGACGAGAGACCTCTCCAGAGCTCTCCACCTCCTGCTTAATTCCAGGAGACTCACAAAAATTACTCTCGATCTTCCTTTTTTTCTCCAGAACTTCCCCTCTCCCAGGAGCACCCCTCGTCTTCTCAGCCTTCGCCTTCTTGATTGAGGCCTTGCTCTGCTGGATGAGAGCAAGGATCTGCTCCTGGGAGAGCTCACTGTTCTCCATCATGTAGGTGAGGGCTGGATTTTTGGAGACCTTCCCGAAAAATCTCTTCGGCTGCTCAATGATCTCGACGTCAGAGTCCCAGTCCTCGAGATCGTATTCCCCAATGTCCTCAAGGACTGAGGAAGTCTCCTCAGGGATAACTGTCAATTCCCCATCAAGACTGGATGATCCAGAGTCTCTGGAGCAACTGGGTTGACTCACATCAGCCCCTAGGCCAGAGCTCTTCTGTGCCTGAGCCTTGGGATCACGAACGTACAACACTCTAGTGACATCGTCAGACGCTATTCTGTACGCCAGATCCCTGGACTTGGTGTCGACCCCCTGCTCTGCCATCAGCTTCTCCAACTCGTCGAGGGTGAGATTTTTTCCCCCCATCTCTTGCTCAGCGACCTCCAGGTACTCCTGTGCCTTTCTCCTCTTCAACAGCCTCTTCATCTGGTAATCTGAGAATCTATTGGACTCCTCTGGGATTTCGTGGAGTCGTCCCCAGGAGTTTTGCTTTCTTGTCTCTTTCAGGTCAGTGAGGATGTCGTACCGAACGTCTGGTGGAAGGGATTTGAAGTCGTTTGACGTTATGTCGACTGTGTGAATGTTTCCTCGCCATTTTGACTGCTTTCGGGGGCTCAGATCGTCTGAGTCTGATTCTGTGCTGTCTGAGAAGGATTCCAGCTCCTGGGGAGGAGCTAGGGGCAGTTTGAACATATCGTTAACGGTTTTTAGAGGATTTGGGGTGTCTGAACTCGAGGATTGGACTTCCTCAGGTGGTTTTTTACTCAGAACGTTCTTCACGAGGCTGTGCTTCATCAGGTTGAGGATCAGGTCGTTCTTCAGCTTCTCGGCTTTGCCTAGAGCTAGTGCTTTCTGCTTCTTTCTCGCTGCTATTGTCGTCTTCTTGAGGAGAGGAACTCCACCATCGAATACGAAGACTGGCTTGATCTTGAAGTAGAGGAGTTTGCAGATTCTCGTGAAGAGACCCAGAAGGTGAGCGTTTGGCAGAGCATTTCCTCGTCCGTCTTGGTATCCTTGGAGGACCTGGTGGATCCAGATGGAAATGTCAATCGCCAGGACCTTTCCCTCGAGTGACTCCGGGGGCACTGGCTTTCCTGATGCGTCAATCAATCTCCACAAACCTGTTACTCCCATTTTTAAGGAATCGGGTTGAATCCGTCAACAACCGGCACTCGGCACTCATCAGCTGATCATGAAGAATCCAAAAAAAATACCTCAATTTATGAAAAAGAAAATCCAGTAATAATTCACGCTAAAATCGTAAAATAAAAATAAAATCGTTATTACCTATTCCCATTCATTAATTACTTCATTATTAATATTAATATTAATTATTTGACGGTTTGTGCCTGTTTTTTCACTGAAATCCCCACAAGAAACTTCAAATCCATTATTTCGCACTCGAATCGTCCGCCATATTGGAGAGAGCCCCGCCGCGGATCTTCGAGGCACTAAATCCAAAATGGCGGCCCGTCTTTGTGCTTTGGCGTTCGTTGCGCGCAGTTCTGGGGTTAAATAACGGTAAAACCCAATAAATAATAATAATCAACGACATAATTAATTAATCCTAACGTTAATGAACGATTATACGTGAGAATTGACGATAATTTCGTTGAAATAAGAACGCCAGAGCGAAAAAATTATCAGCTCTTTGTTCAGTCCATCACGCATTGAGCTGCGCATACACCAAAAATGGCCGCAAAATCTCGCAATAACGAACTTGGACGCTCGTTTCTCGTGTTTTTGGATTAAAATCGCATTCCCTGCTGCTGTTGATCTGAAATGAGAGTACCCTGGATACCTAACGGTGACAACTAAGGGGGAAATCGAGTAGGACAATGGTAAATGCAGGGAATAAATCCAATTGGTGTTGGACACTCAACAAAGGACAACTCCATGAACTTTCCCGTGAAATCCGGTAAAATCGTTAAATTAACTATAATAACTGGACAATTTCAATCGTATTACAAACTTTATGATGGAGGTGACATTTAGTGCTGTAAAATTTACACCTGCAAATGTCAGCATATAAACAATTTCCGTGACGATAAAATATTGTTCTCGTGTTCTTAATGTTGATAACCAGAAGATGACGCCTCTTGTGTCGTTCTGGACAAATTCAGAGGTTTTTTAAACATTTGTGACGTTTATTATATTTTTTGGTTATTGACAATATCACTGAAGTGTGGACTGAGAGACAAAATTAATAAAAAAAAAATTAATTTGACATTCCGGGGTTAAAAAAAGTGTTATTAATATTTCGGTGGTTCTCCTGTTACCGACTTTGTCATAAATATGTGAGATGACGTTTCGTGTTTGTGTTTTTCGATTTTTTAGTGAGTGAATTTAATTTTGAAAATCGCGAGTGTTTGTGGAGTGAATTTTATTTTCGTAATCATGAGTGCTTGTGGAGTGAATTTTCATCGAGGGATTTTCCAGAGGATTAGAATTCTTCCAGAGGTTCCAGGTGGTGGTACGAGAGATGAAAAACTTGGTTTCATCCAACACCGGTGAGTTCATTTTATTATTCATCTAAAAATCGAATTAATCGATCAATAATTGAGATTCGAAAATCGAAGGATATGAGGGGAAGAGAACGTTCGAATAATTTTCTCGCTATTGTTCATTGGAATTCTCACAGGAATCGTCGAAAAATAATTAATTACAATATCTCAATCGTAATTCATAACTCTGATAAACAGGAGAAAGTCTTCGGACATGCGAAAAAATTTCAACAATTAATCTGAGACTTTTAATTTTCATTTTTACTCCAATGGCGAAGACTCAAAGATGAATATCTCGGTATCTGAAGGAGATAGCGAAATTTTTGTAGGACATTTTTTGTAGCTCTTATTCCACTCTGCAAAAAATGTTTTGATAAAATTTTTGCTATCTCTCTTGGATTAGGAGGTATTTCGAGATTAATTGAGTTGTCACTTTTCACTTCTCTCCTACTGATTTGATTGAATAATGAATATTTGAGTGCAGGCAATTAGTGCAGTTACATATAAGGATAAAAATCATATAGTCAGAGGTTTTGGTAGCTACGGGAAATGATGAAGCCCCCAATCCCCTCCTCTTCTCGAAATCAAGGCGAAAGTCTTTATAATACACTTGTCTCGAATTTGTCTTTCCCACGGTTCTCACGCTGCCCCAATCATCAAAATTATCTCTTTTTTCTCGTAATTTTCTATTGAAGCAATGAATATTAAAGCATCAATGAATAATCAAAACTCGGATTCTCACTTGATTCACTCACCAATTTGTAAAAGTCAAAAAGATAAAAAATATTCGCAAATCTCTGTTATCACCAATCCACCGGCTTTTCGATCGATATCTCTGAATCTAAGAGAGCTACCGAAATTTTTATAATTACCTTTTCTCTAGTATTCAATGAGCCCCAGAAAAAAGGTGATAACAAAAATTTCGGTATCAGCCCTCGATTCGGAGATATTCACGAAAAATTGACTCGGGGTTTAGTATACTGATTTTTTTTCGTTGGAGGGGGCTATTTGGAATTATTTTTTTATCTTCTGGTGAAAAACGGGTTGAGATGATAATAATGGTAAAAAATTCTGGGGGAGTGGTATTTTAAGATCTAGTTTTTCATGTGGTGGAAAAAAAAAATGGGATTGATTCATAGAAGTCTCTGTACTTTGGTGTGTGCGTGATGGAGTAGATTTGTGGTATGTATGTGAGGTAGAGGCCACCCACTCTTTCCCACAGCAGGTTTTTCCCACGCCCTCCAGGGTAACCCCAACATCCTTTTGCGGCAGCAATTCCACGCCGGGCGGGGAATAAAGAATAAAGAGAGCGGAGGCAATCCATTTGTATGTGTATGTCCCCTGTAAATGAGATACATCTACAATATCATCGATAAATACGTCTCCTATGATTCGGATAGCTGATTTGATTATGAAGTTAATTAGCATGAGTGATAGCGTCGAGTCATTTGATTTTTAATACCGCATTTTTTTTTTTTTTTTGTTAATATCAATTTATCTCGGTAACTGGGAGTTTGGGAGAAAAGGTCAGGGGAACTTTTTTGAAGATGAGGGAATTTCAAGGGAAAAAGGTCCTCTGACCTCATTTCTAAAACTCGACGGTACAGAAATAATTACGGATTTATAAGAGCGTGTAACGAGCGAATTACTGATTTTTTTTTTAATTCTTGATTTTGTGAATATGGATTTATCTCGAGAGTTGTGTATTTATGAGAAATGGTCAAAGGAACTTTTTTGGAGGTGAAGAGATTTTCTAAAAATAATGTCCTCTGACCTTCTCTGTAAAACCTCTTATTCTCGAGATAATTACAGATTTACAAAAACATCCAACAACAAAATAATTGATTTTTCAATTGTTCACATTCTAAATATCAATTTATCTCGAAAATCGTGAGTTTACGGGAAAATTTCATAGGAACTTTATGGAAGCTCTGAAAATTTCCTCCAAAAAATTCTTTTATGAATTTCCCAGTAAAACAGCCCATTCTCGAGATAATCACTCATTTCCCATGAAAAAATGGTGTTGTCTGGTGCCCCATCCTCCACGTGTGAAATCCAAAAGCACTGGTGGGCACCTCCACCTCCTGGATATATTTCCAGCGAGGCACTGGGGTCGATACAACATCAACAACGGTAAAACAATAGAAACTTGAAGGGACTTTGAGGCAGACGGTAATAACTCCCCACTGGATCCCAAGTTTTGTTTTAGTTGCACCGTGAGTGTCGGAGGAAGAGGACGAATTAACCTCGTACTCTCGCCATCACCCACTGTCAATTACCTCGAATCGATGATATGACACAATTATAATCGATCAATCGAATCCTCGGGAGAATTCAATGACGTGTAATTCTTGAATTGATTTGATTCTTGAATTGTCATTGTTAATTATTCGAATTTACCCGCCAATTTTTTTTTTTTTTTATCAACGGGCGGCTCAGCTGTTGGCAGGACTGTCGGAAAATTTGGAAAGTGAACAGGTGTTTTTTGAATGGATTGGAGGAGGAGAGAATATACAACACAAGCGGGGGATTTATTCTGCAGCGTTTGTGTCAAATTTAATGTGTGATATTTGTTTATGAATATCTTTTATTTGTGGGGAGGTGGATTATTCGGAGGAGTGAATAATTTGGAGATATTGCTGATTGAACGGTGATTTTTGTGGCAATATTTTTTATCATGATTTGGTTATTTACACTCATTGGGACGCTGTGAACAACAATAACAGGGTGACTACACATTTTTAAAATCAATTTATCGGTTGTTTTTTTTTATTATGGAGATAAGAGTTGTTGGTTTTTTTTTTTTATTGATATTTAGCAGTTGCTTCTTGTCTTGTTCATCCTATCAACTGTAAATTTATTGTTCACATCCTCATTATCCCCCCAGCCCACAATTTTCCAAATTGAAAAATGAATGAAAAACTTAAGAATTGAAATTATTTCACGAATAGATAATTGAATTGCTCTTTTTAATTGTTAAATTTTATTGGTTATTGGGTGATTTTTTAAGGTTTTCCAGAATATTTGTCATCCTCAGGGATTATAACCTCTACTTCAGTCTAGATCATCATTTTTTCTCCCCTGATATCTCAGAATTTATTCAATTAAATCTCCACGTCTGGGAAATTGTCATAATTGTTATAAATTGAGGGATTATTAGTGTCGGATTTATTTTCTGGTGTGTGAGGCGATTGATCGCTCATTGGCTCGATAAATTCTCTTGTGATTAATGAATTTAAAAAAAAAATACAAATATTACGTAATTGTGTTGGGAAGAATTGTGTCAAAGAATAATGCACCAGTTGAATAAAAAAAAAAAATACTGGAGTATTAATTTATGCACATGAAATTGCACACAGTCTATTTACGTTTTTGCATTCGGAAGTGACAGAACTAGTCACTTTAATTGTCACTAACTGACTGAGGTCACAGTTTTTAATTTACTCGTTATATTTTCATTCAATTGAGTGGACCCAGTTGTTGTTGGGTTTTTTTTTTTTTTTTTTTCGTGCAATTTCATTGGAGTTGTTATTTTTATAGACAATTCTGGGCTCATCAAGGGGAGAGAAAAAAATATATAATGATGATCGTAAAAAATACAACGGCCTCCACGATGTTCCCACGTATCGTACGCATTTCCTCTTTCCTGTCTCGCTAAATGAAAAAAAAAAAAACACCTAGGTAATTCCCAGGTTCATTTGGAACAGGATTTCTTTCCTCCATTAATTATTAAATCCATGGAACAAAAAAGTTTCTCACGTACTCTTCGAGTTTGGACAAAAGGAAAAGAGGGAGTTATGGGTGGGGATAACTGTATTCATTTTTCAATTGTTTGGAAAATTCTGGTGATATGAAAGCTGGGGAGATATTTTCAATATTGTGTTGGTGGATTTTTAATTGTTCATTTGTACTGATGTATCAGATTTTTTAAAATTATCTTTTTAATTAGGGATTTTTTAAAATTGATTTTGTTGATAAAATTGGATGATTCAACTTATTTTATTGATCGAATTTGATATTTTATTGATTACTTGCGTATAGAAATATCAGAAGTTTTTTTTTTTAATTTGTTTTCGAATTAGTAATTTTTTGGATCGATTTAGTCCACAGAATTGGATAATTCGATTTATTTTATTGATCGAATTGAACATTTCATTAATTACACAAGAACAATTAAAAATTCATTCATTCCTTTTACGATTCCATTACCAAATCAAATCACCACTTTATCACACGTAAATTCGAATAATCATACTTCCAGTTAAAAACTCAATTCCATAATAAAAAAATCCGCTGGAATTCCCGTAGTGATAAAAAAAAAATTTTAAACCTTTACCTCAATCCTCAAGTAAGTGATTTCTCGTATTTAATGACTTGATGGAGAAATGCTCACGGATGATTCCCTCGAATTGACTCGAAAAAACCAATGCTTCTAGATGTCATCGCCCTAGCAGTGAGGACCCCATGCTATGACAATCACCACGAAATTGAGAACGTGGATGACCAATCGGTGATAGAACATCATCGTGCAATAATGCCCCACCAGTTTGGTCTGCCAGCGATGGCACACGGAATGCAATCACCACCATCACCAACAGCTGTGATGTCGTATCCTCGTTTTGGTACAAATGTTTACCGTCCGGATCATCATCAGGATCAGAAATTGACTAGGGAAGCCATGGAGCGCTATCTGCGCGATCGAAGTGATATGGTGATTGTTATTCTACATGCTAAAGTTGCCCAAAAATCGTATGGCAATGAGAAGAGATTTTTCTGTCCACCTCCGTGTATTTATCTGTTTGGTGATGGGTGGAGGATGCGTCAGGAGCAGATGCTCAGGGAGGGTGAGAGTGAGCAATCAGCTCAGCTGTGTGCTTTTATTGGAATTGGTAATTCGGAGCAGGATATGCAGCAGCTTGATCTCAATAATGGTAAACAGTACTGCGCTGCTAAGACACTTTATATATCGGACTCGGATAAGAGGAAACACTTTATGCTTTCTGTGAAGATGTTTTATGGGAGTGGTCATGATATTGGTGTTTTTCACAGCAAGAGGATCAAGGTTATATCGAAACCATCGAAGAAGAAACAGTCGCTGAAGAATGCTGATCTTTGTATTGCAAGTGGTACTAAAGTTGCTCTGTTCAATAGATTGAGATCGCAGACTGTGAGCACTAGGTATTTACATGTTGAGAATGGAAATTTTCATGCTAGCTCGACTCAGTGGGGGGCTTTTACCATTCATCTGCTTGATGATAATGAATCGGAGTCTGAGGAATTTCAGGTTCGTGATGGATATGTTCATTATGGGAGCACTGTTAAGCTCGTTTGCTCGGTTACTGGTATGGCACTGCCAAGACTTGTTATCAGGAAGGTTGATAAGCAGATGGCTAGTTTGGAGGCTGATGATCCAGTGTCGCAGCTGCATAAGTGTGCTTTTTATATGAAGGACACTGATCACATGTACTTGTGTCTCAGTCAGGAGAGGATTATACAATTTCAGGCGACACCTTGTCCCAAGGAGGCTAATAAGGAGATGATCAATGATGGGGCTTGCTGGACTATTATCAGCACTGATAAGGCTGAGTATCAGTTCTTCGAGGGTATGGGGCCTGTTAGATCACCTGTTACACCGGTACCACTTGTTCATAGTCTTCATTTGAATGGTGGTGGTGATGTGGCTATGTTGGAGCTGAAGGGGGACAATTTTACACCGAATCTTCAGGTTTGGTTTGGAGATGTCGAGGCTGAGACGATGTACAGGTGTCAGGAGATAATGCTTTGTGTTGTGCCTGATATATCGTTGTTCAGGGGTGAGTGGCTTTGGGTTAGACAGCCAACTCAGGTGCCTGTGTCGTTGGTGAGGAATGATGGAATTATTTATGCCACTGGATTGACGTTTACGTATACACCGGAGCCTGGACCTAGACCTCATTGTCCACCTGCTGATGAGATAATGAGAGCACCTAGAGCTATTGGGCATAATCAGGCTAGCATGCCACCTGCTATTGCTGATGTACCTTGGAATTCTCATCATCCACCCACTCAGCCTGGGCTTTGATATCAAGGACAACGAGAACGTACACGATAAATATTATTTGTGGATTTATTTGGAGGCTCCAGTGGGGTGGCGTTGTCTGGGGATTGGGGGTCGGCGTGATGAGGGGATTATTTATTAGTTTTTAATACCAGAAAGAGATATTTTTTATTAGGTTTTCCGAGTGTTCTAGATCAGAAAATAGGTCTGTGGTAGGGATATTAATTTAATGGGGGAGGAGATGAAATTTGGCCGATATGTTGAGATCTGTGGGAGATGGGGAATTGCTGTCGGTAAATGTTTTTTTTTTTTTGTAGGTCTTGGGGGCTGGCTAAAATTTTTTGGGGAATATTTTGATGTCTCTGGTGGATTCGGTGATATTCCTTGGATTATTAAGGCACAGGTTGATTTGCCACATTTTACCTCTGAAGTAATGAATTATTAGAGTAGAATTTTAAGTTGATTTACACTATCACTTGCTCATTCAGAATATCGAGGGCTCACGTTTTGGTTGAATTTGTCTTGTAGTTTTAGCCGGATATTTCTTTCTTTTTAATAATCTTTCGAGGGAAAAAACAGTGTATATAGAATTTGTCTCTGAGTGAGTGAATTATTGTGGATCAGTGGGTGGGGATTAACACTCGTGGTATACGATTTATCGTATACGATTTTATACGATAATGTAGAGATCATTGATGTAAATATGAAATTGATATTCGAATAATAGAGAATTGATTTTTCCTTTCAATGAATTCGAGGTTGAAATTCAGAGGTTTCCGATGCCCTGATCTATGTAAATACATCAGCATAATGGCTCCATATGTGTATATGGACGTTATACATATGTACACACAAAAAAAAAAGCTATTAATTACTCTAAATGTAAGGGAACTCTAGAATTTAATGACTCTCATAGTTTTAAAAGAGGATGATACATTGAGTTTGTAATGGAATAATTTCAGCTGACGAGTGAGAAATAAAAGGAGTATACAATTTTCTTTTTGTAACAATGCTATTTTATTATGGTTTATTCACTCTTTATATATCTCTTCGATTTTTGAATCTCATTATGATTAATGCTGGTGAAAGTTTAGGGGATGTTTTTTTTTTTTTTTTGTGGAAAATAGAGGGAAAATCTGGGTAATTGAGAAATTGTGAAAAAATAGTGAGGAAAAAATTAATAATACACGTGCATATATAGCACATTTTAAAAGAGGAAACGAGATAAGAATCGAAATCCGCTGTTGGATGGAACATCCCTACTTTGGATGTTTTATTATTGTTACCAACGTGGAATGTTGGTAATTCAAACGTGGGAATTTACCCACAATTAAATAATTCTCATTGTGACTGAAGACGTTAATTCATCAGATGTTCACACGAGACGAGAAAAATAAGGGGAATCTAATGGAAAAAAAAAACTGGGGAAAGATTTTTTTTTATGAAAAATAGATTATTGGGAGTAAAATATGATTTCCGCGTTATAAATCTCAAATAGAACTACTCTGTATAAATAGGAATATTTTTTTTTTCATGATTGTTGTTAGAATATTTACACTCATTCATTCATGAATTACAATTTTGTGGAATGGTGGGGGGGGGAGATGAATTTTTTTTTTTTTTTTGAGGATTTTTTGATGGATGGGGAATGGATAATTCATCTTTTTCCACTTGCACAAAATTGTGTTGGTGAACATTCAAAAAAATATATATAATTTCGAGAGAACAGTGCGAAAACAAATGATTAAATTCTATTTTACAATATCTAGGTATAAAAAAAATCTAGATTATACAATACTCTTGACGAAAATTAAATTTTCGTGAAATTTTAACGTGCAATTTGTCTTTTGAGTTATGAGCGATTATTATTGCTTGGGTATTCTTATTGTTCGCTGTTTGTTCATGTTTGTGAGCATTAGGGATATGTAGGAGGTGAGAAGATCATCCATTTTGTAACCTAGGGATGTTTCGCAGAGGAGTTTTGAGCCCCTCACTAGATTACCGATTGTCATGTGAAAGTAGGTGTTCCCTGATGACCAGTTGGAGATTCTTGTGAATGGATGAGTCACCAGGATGTCCTGATTGATAAAAATAGGGATTTATCAGTAACTCGAATCTTCGAATTTTTCTAATTATCGATTTATCTCGAAGACAAAACATTTTACGAGGAAATTTCACAAGAAAATTTTTTTGCCTCATTAAATTTTCTTCAAAAAATGGCTCTTGATATTTTTCTCTAATACCGATAGTTTTTGAGATTAATCGATTTGATGGAACTAGGAAATTCACATCGAACAGTTTGAGATTAAATTATGGGGTATACCTTCGTCTGTGGATGAATCAAACTCACTCCGTGTTTATTGATAGCAATGAGCAATAGTTCTGGATAATTAGGCTCAGTCCCTTGTTTAACTTCGAAGAATGCCGATCCAAATGTTGGCCAACGATAGACTATCTTTAGAAAAGTGATTTTTGCGTCCTCAGGACTCATTCCTGTAGAAAATTGAGAAAAACAATCACTGAAATTTTCTTTCAATAATCTTATTCAACACATTAAATATCCTTCGTCTAGAATTGATAGAACAATTCTGTCAAGATCTTCTCGAAAATTATCTCGACATTTTCTTTGTAGTTTCTGTAGTTGACGATTTTTTTTTTTTTACCTGCGTCTTGATTATAAGCAGCAATTATCGATCGTTTCCAGTCGTTGGAGCTTTGTACCTTCACTAGATCTCCAGGTATCAATTCTCTCAGCATTTGTCTAGAGAAAAAAAAAATGAGAGTAATTCAGGATTTTTTTTGTAATCAATAGCCTTTGTGGAATGGAAATTTAATGTTTTTTCTCTCAAAAATTAATGTCAACTATTTCTTACGGTATTGCTTGTAGCTCTTGTTTACTCTCTCCAAATCTAACTCTGTAGACCAGGGCAGCTAGTCTGGAAGCTTCTTCCTTCGTGCACTTGTGATATCCTTGAATAGAAAAAAAAAAATCCAATAATTGGAAATTCCCCTCGATCCTCGGATATTCATAGAAAATCATTGACTCACGGTAAAAAATAAATTATAATTTTATTTATAATTTGATAAAATAAAAAATTTCCCCACCTCTCAATAATTTTGGTAGCTCCTGATGAAAGTGAAATATGAGATCAGCATTTCGATCTTTTCCAGGAACAGTATTAGTCCAGAGTTTTTTCATGAAAAAAACTTGATATGTAAATTGTGGAACAACACCGTCTCTAGATGGTCTAGTTTTTCTGATCCAATCAGTGAGATGTCTGACAAAATCAAAGAAAAAATCACCCTCTGGTACAGATATTACTTTGTCTGCTATTTTGACGAATAGACTGAAGCCCTCAGCAGATCTGAGGTTGAGCCTTTGTGATATATTCTGACAGAAATCCTTGGCTTTAGTTGATGAGTCGACCTCGAATGCCTCATCGGTGTCATCAGGAAAATAAACTTTATGAAATATTTGTGTTGTCTTGTGCTGAATGGCTTCTACCTCAACCTGATGTGGTGGATATTTTCTCTGTCCATTTCTCAGGGTTTTCTGGAGTCTCTGGAGTGAATCCTGACTGATGGGGTGCCTCCTCGTTCTCAAGAATAGGGTCAACTCTTTGAGTAAACTCTGACTGCACACGAAGAGGCCTGTTGCAAGCCACATTAGCTCCCAGCCTCTCTCCTCGCTCAATCTATTTCTGTTGTCAGTGAGTTGTTTCATTATTTGACAGTAAATCTCGTCCCTCAGTATTTCATTTTTGAGTGGACCGTCGAAGATTAGATCTGTGTACTCGTTACCAATTCTTGGTCTCTTTGTTGGAAGATCACCCATGTATTTGAGGATGGCATTGAATGCAAAACAGGCTTCCTCGGCCAATTCCTCTTTGGACACTAGTTTTTTTAGGAGTGGTTGTTTTATTGGCTCCCTTGAGTGCCTCCATAGCTCGTCGTTGTGTCCTCTTCGGGCTGCTGTCAGTGTCAGGGCCTTTGACATTGTTCTCTTTGGTGGTGTTCTGAAGTGATCAATTGCGTACTCCAGGAGGGTGTGGGGTTTGTCTCTCGATTCAACTCCATTTATTTGTTGTGGATATAATCTTCTACCATTTTCACTTCCCTCGATGCTGAAGAGGGATAGAATGTCGGTTGGTGGTTTTGATAATGATGGGAGTACGTAGACTGTTTCAGCTGGAAAATCACCTTTGTCACCGGTTCTCTCGCAGGTACCGATGCACCATCCTGAGTTGATAACAGTCTCACCGGTGCTCTCCTCGTCGAGAACAATGAGATCACCTTTGGAAAAATTGAGAAATGAACAGGCACCTTCTCCGGGTGGTTTGTAATCCTGGAGAGCTATCACGTATTTACTTCTCTTCTTCAGTCCCTCTAGGAAATAGACGACTAAGTCACGAATATCCTCTGCATTGGGACTCTGAAATGTAAACTCTTCACCTCTAACTGTCGACAGACTGAATGTCTGGGTAAACATTTTCGTTGTTTTTTGACTAGACACTGTTGTTATCTCGGGAAATGATAGCTCAAGGAGCACTTGCTCCTGATCATCAACGACGTAGACACCTGTCCAATTGACAGCTATTATTACATCATTCTTGGGTAAATTTGGACCGGAATTTCTGTATGCCTCGTAGAAACGTGAGAATAGCAGGGGCCATTTGAATTTAGCGTAACCAACGATATCCTCTTTGACCCGCAGTGCTGGCACCTTCTCCTTGACGTAATAACTCTTTTTGAATGCCTGGAGTACCAGATGACCCCATCTCTCAATTGCCTTGTCAATACCAGTTAAGCAGTAATCGGGAATGTAATTTGGCAGAAGTGCAAATAATCTGTCTACATTCATATCGATGTGATACTCAATATAGTACTGTTGGGCTGCTATCATGGCTAGATCCTCCTCCTTGTCACACCTATATTCACCAAATTTAACGCCTCGTACAACTTGTTGATAGATTAAATTGGTGGCGACTTGATCCTCGGTGGGTTCGTGCCAGGGGGCAAATATCTCTTTTCTGAAGAATAATCTCCATGGGGCGTTTCTCTCCTGGGCACCCTGCTCCTTGGCATACTGCTCGCACTGGGATATCGCATCCATTACGTGATCACCACCACTTCCAAGGGATGATACTTTGTCGAATAGAGCAATGTACAGGGAGAAACCGAATTGATCGCGGAGGGATATTTTTTCGGATAGCTGATTGCATAGTTCTCTTGCTGTTGTAGCTGAATCAGCTAGGAGGGTTTTGGTGTTGCCATCCATAAATGTTATCGGTAGCATTATGGGTTTTTTGGATTTTGTTGCTTGTAGCTCGAGCCAGCTTGGTGGTTGATTTCTTGTACCGTTGTTGAATGTTCTTTTTAGACGGTCCTCGCAGTAGGGGGCATATCCTGGTGGTCCTTCACGGATAAATGCTCGGAGGTAATTGACAAATTTTTCGGATGGTGCGAAACAACCGACGCAGAGGGATAGGAGAATCCAGCCTCTTGCGTGGGATGATTTTGATAGATTGTTGGTGAGCTGTTTGCAAATCTGGCAGTAGATCTCGTCTCGTAGCTCCGCTCTTAGGATTCCATGGCCGATTATGAAGTGAAGCTTCTCGAGATTTGATGTTGGACGTGACTCGAGCCAGGATTGATAGCTGTCAGCTGTGTACTCGTCGTCTTGGAGACGTCTTCTCACATCCTCGCCTAATTTATTTTTTCTCTTCAGTGTCAGGGAGACGAGTTTGTGTCTTATTGATCTTGGTTTTTGCTTGAATGTGTCTGGATCCATTCCCATCATTTGGGCCTCTTGAAACTCCTTGCTTCTTATAAAATTTCTACCAAGTGTTGCTGTTACTTTGGACATAACGGATGTTGTGTCACGATTCATCGTGTGGTATCTTGGCTCTGGTAAATCACCAGTGAATCTCAGAATTGTTATCCAGAGAGCTTGAGCTGCTAGCTGATCTCCCTGTGTGTGGAGGGGTAATAGTGGATGCTTGAGGGGTTTTCTCGAGTAAAGGTGATTGATATTTCCTTGGAAATAGGTCGCTGCAAATTTATTGAATTTAAATTCAGATAGATCCTCCTCATCTTCGGAGGCTGTTTGCACTGGACTTATTATCTCATGCTGATCAGCTTTTGGCGCTGGTAAATCGTTGAATACTGATGTCTCACGTGCTGGTGTTGGTGCTTCGCTGCTTGAGTCTGGTAAAAAATCAAACATTGCCTCGACGAGTTTACTGTCATCGACTGGTTCATCTTGCTTTTTAGCAGCGTCATTTATCAAATTTTTTTTTATCTCCATACGTCGTCTGTCCTCAAGCTCCATTTCAATCTCTTTTCTCTCGAGCTCATCCATTCTATCCCTGTAATTCTGCTCGGCAATCTCTTTAGCTCGTTTGTTCCCCTGATCCTTGAGCTCTCTCTCCTCAATTTTTCTCAATCTTAGTGCCTCGATGTGCAATCGATACTCGTATTTTATCTTCTTGTAACGCCTCTGGGCTATCATTCTTCTTACATTCGCTTGTATTTTCACTATTGCCCACATTTTTTTTCTGTACATTCGTCGGACTAGGTGTCCACGTGCGCGTGCCTGAAGTGCCACAATGTGACCACGGAGATGCCTGAATCTGTGGGATAATACTCGGGATCTTACGAGGGCCTGAAGCCTCATGTATCCACTTCTCATTCGTTTGTATCTCTCTCTCTGGGCGTAGCCTCGCCAAAATTTCTGAACAACAATGGCTGCTGATCTCATTCTCAGGAATCGTCTTCTGTATACCCAACCCCTGATGTTTCTCTGGAGGATGAGAATTTTTCGTGTTAGTACACGATCACGCTCCTGTTCTAGGAATAAATCGTGGGCGTCCTTGAGGAAGACTTTGGTGTGACCGAGTTGATAATCAGATCTACCCAGTATATGATGACATATTCTGGCTGTTGCACCTCGACAATCTGTCTTGTGAGCTGGTGGTATTCCTGATATTAAAAATCTATATCTCTCAACGAATTCACCGAATGCATGACGAATTGGATAGCCAGCTCTGCGTATTCTTATTGTCTCCATCATTCCTGAGTATCTCAGTTGTCTGCAGCATAGGCCACGATCGAACATCATTGGTTTCTTGTACTCATTTGGCTTGATGCATCTGATGAAGAAGGGCTGACAGTTGCATAGAGTTCTCATCAGGGAATCGAGGGATTTTTTGAATTGGGTGGAGAGGGTGGGGGCGCGTTTTCTTGTCTCCGAGCCCATGCCAATGTCCTCGACGAAGCACGTCTGCAGAAATTTATTTGATGATATGTGAATTAATTGGAGGAGATCGGCGCTAAATGTGTCTCGATTCTTCTCCAAGAAGCTTCTTGTGTCGTAGAATACAACACCAGCGAAATGATTTAATCCAAATGATGTGTTGATGTCGGATTTTGGCTTGAGATAATTTCTGTGAGTGCCGTGGGTTTTGTGGATTTTTGCTAGCATTGTTTGGTCAGTTCCCTTTGGAAATTTTGATTCCTCGTCTATCAGTGCCATTATGTTGAGCTGCTTTATGGCTATTAGGTCGAGGGCATCCTGATTGTCAACGAATTCTATGTGCTGCCAGTTGATACCCTCGTGATTATACTCTTCTTGCTCCAATTTGAATATGTGCTGGACAAAAAATTGCTGGAGATTTTCGTTAGCGTAGTTTATGCAGAATTGCTCGAAGCTGTTGTGATTGAAGTTCTCGAAGCCGAAGATGTCGAGAACACCAATGGCACTTCTTGATTTGTGCTTTGGACGGAATATGGCTTCGTTTATCCGTTTAACGATGTGAACGAAGAGTCTGCCGTAGATTCCCTTTACAAAGGCATCTCTGATGTCCACTGATTGATCTCTGGAGAGGGTGGATACCACTGTTTCACCGTGGGCAAATATTGTTCTTCGCGTTAGGGCGTCAACTAGGGACTGGACTGGTACACCTAGGAGATGTGCTACTCGTTGGACTGCTGTGTGCTCGGATATTTCTGTTGCGTCTAGATTATCGACAACGGTTGCTCGGTATTTGATGTTTCCCATGTGGAGGAGGGCTGCCAGCAGCCTCAGCACCTCCCAGATTTCGGGATCGGTGAATAGGAGGACCTTCATTGCTGATCTTATGTCGGCGAATTCAGCTGCGTCGTCTCGGCCCTCGCATGTTATACTTCCACCACCTGTCAGGTACTTGTAGTGGGATGCGTCTTCTAACTCCAATTTATTTTTTTCATCCTGGGATAGACCTGCTAGCATGCAGTAGAATATGTGATAATTTCTCTCATCGGCGTTTTGGGATACTATTCGGGATTTTTCTAGGAGGTACTGCTCGATTTTTGCACCCTCGATTACACCTTGATCGTTGAAATGAATGTCTATGTATTTTCCGAAACGAGAGGAATTGTCGTTGCGCACTGTTTTTGCGTTACCGAATGCCTCAAGAATTGGATTTGCTTCGAGGATTTGTTGCTCGATCCATGAGTGTTTACCACTTATTGCTGCTAGGTATTGGAGAATTAATTTTGTGCTTTCCGTTTTTCCTGCACCACTCTCACCACTGGAAATGGAATTTTCATTTTTTTATTCATTAGAAGAGATTTTTTTAGGCTTTCACATTATTTATATATATATATATTTTTTTTTTAATGAACAAATTATAAATTTATTGAAAATTTTGAGGTAAATAATGGAGTTATACCCTATTACCTGATGACGATACATTGATCCTGCCCATAACGATTCATATGGGCGTAACTGTTATCACCAATGGCGAATATGTGGGGGGGTAATTCACCAATTTTTCTGTCCTTGTATAATTTAATCTGCTCGGCAGTGTAAATTGGTAGAATTTGGTAAGGATTAACGGCGACTAGAATTGAGCCGGTGTAGGTGTAGATGAGATTCTCGTTGTATCTTATCAGGAGATTTCTCAATATTCCAGCCTCGTGGAGGTCTCCAAGGCTTATCATGTCCTCGACACCCTGGACCGAGGTGGCGTGCATCGCCTTTATCCTTCGCTCTGGCGTCAACCATTGTTCCTGATAATTATTTAAAAAATATTGAAATGGTATTGAAAGTACTGAATATCAATGGCACCAACTGCATTTTGGTTTTTGATAACGATTTCAAGGATATCTCTGAAACCAGGGGAGATAATGGAATTTTTGTAATGACCTTTTTTGCAGATCTCATTGCGGCCTACAGAAAAGGTCGAATTGATGAATTCGATATTTCTAGAGGATTTAGAGATATTTACTTTCAAAAGTCGGTGCAGTCTATTAATCGATGCCGTTAGGCTACATTAACGATTTCAAGGATATCTCCGAATCCAGGGGAGATACTGGAATTTTTGTAATGACCTTTTTTGCAGATCTCATTGCACACTACAAAAAAGATCGGTATGAAAATTTCGATATTTCTCGTAGATTCCGAGATATTCCTCAACAAACCACTTCTCTCCACCTCTTCACTGCATTGATGCATTGAGACGTAAAATTGGTTAAATTAATATATTTTCATTTTTTCATTAAACAATTTTTGGAATCGTTATAATTATTACTGTTCACATGACAATTACTATAAATACATTGAACATAATAATTAAATAAATAATCCATCGGAAATTTCCAAGATTTTCGAAAAATCACGCGAAAATATTTTCAATCGAATCTTCTTCTTTATTTTCTCAACAGATTAATGTTAAATTAATGTTTATTAATTTGTCCTCACGTTGTTATCGTCGTCTTTCACTTGAATTCTTCGTCCCTCAGCGGAAATGACTCTCGCACCTATGGCGACATCGAATTCCCGTCCCGATATTGGTTCGATCCATATATAATCACCCTATTAATGAATAACAATTTTCATTAATAATAATTAAAGAGAAAATAAATAAAATAATTACATGAAATTATAATTAATTTTTATGGGATAATTGTAAACGTGTAATTATTTTGGATAATTAGTTGGGATGAGGGGGAGGAATCGGTAATCAATTAATAATCGATTTTATAATGGATAATCGAGATGGAGAGAATTGGCCATTGGTAATTGGTTGTGTTGGAGTGCGTGTGTTGGTATAATACATTTTAATGTTTTCGTTCCAATTGTTCGGTGTCTCGGAACATCGGGAGAGCGAGAAGAGTCCGCTGCGTTGCCTTTTCCGCTCTTTGGTCGGTGAACACATACAAATCGAGAATATGTGGGCTTTTTTATTTTTCACCTCGATTATCGAATAGTGTCTAATAATTCTCGAGGGTCTCAACTATTTTTATATTTCCCGCAATGAATGACTGCCACTTCCGGTTTGTCTTACTGTAGTCATTCGAAAATTTACGTTTCCGGTTTTATTTCGGGGAATTGGGGCGTTTTCGGTGGATTTTTCTTTTATCGATTGTTGAGTGGAATTTAATTAATTTAATTTAATTAATTGGTGATTAAAGGAAATGAATGCCAATTGATTCGCATTTGTTACGGCGTTTTTCAGAAATATTTCCGAAACTAATGAGAATAATGGAATTTTTGATAGAACTTTTTTTGTAGAAGACATTGAGGGCTTCAGAAAATGTTACTGAACATTTTTGCTATCTCTCTTAGATTCTGGGTTATTAGTGTTATAAAACCAGTAATGAATAATTCTCTTTTTAAATTTGTGTAGTTTTCAGTGAATATTTCGGAATTGAGGCCAGATAACGAAATTTTTGAAAAGTCCTTTTTTACGGAGTTGATTGAGAGGGACAAAAACGGTTATTACGAAAATTTCGATATCTCTGTTAGTTCGGAAGATAATGAGAGATGAGAGACTTGGTGAAAAGTAAATTTCTCTCGTTTGATGAAATTCGGTGGTGGGATCCTCTTTCGGAAGATTAACTCGAAATTTTTTAATGGGTTGAGACAAAAATTTCCGTCTCAATGGACACTCACGTGGACAATTTGTCTTTGCGAAATATTAAATTATGGATTTTTGGCTCTCTGGTGAATGGTCACTCGTTACAGATTCCCACTGACCGAGTTTTCGGGAAGAGGTACGCGTGCATAAAATCACCAGTGAAATTGACTGTAGGATTTCTGGGTAAATACGCATATATTTACCCTTGTGAACCTGCTGAATGAAAGCTATGGATTTTTCAATAATTTTCGATCATTTTTTTATAATTTTCAAAGTGATTCCTCACGAAATAAAAAATACCTCAATTTATTAACGCAACATTTCCACAATTATCTCGAAATCTGGAAAAAATATCGCTATTTTCATAATGACCTTTTCTATAGAACCGATCGAGATCTAGAGAAAATGTTATTACCAAAATTTCGATGTCTGCGTTAGATTTCGAGATTTTCATGAAAAAGCGAGAGACGAGAAAAATTAATTTTAACTTTTCTGGGGAGTTTTTAATCATTTCGAATTCGGGGATTACGGAACAATTTTATTGCTGTCGTTTGGTCCAGGGGATTACTATTATCTTTATGGATATTCTATTTTTACTGTAATTACAGCGGTTGCACTATTTTTATGAAATTACCCGGGTTACGATGACCATCTCTCGAGTCTCGTTCGACGTGCGCACCGGCCCGCCACCTGGAATTAATAAAAAATTGATAAAATTTATAAACAATTTAAATCTTAAATTGATAGAAGACTTTTCGGAAAATTTCATATTATTAAAAAAAAAGATTGATTAAAAACTACAAATGATAATTAAAATTGCAAAAATCTCAAAGAAATTTCAATCGATGAAATTCTCATTTTCTGATCATTATTTTTTTTATCATTTTTATTTATTATTTTGTTTAATAATTTTTTTTAATAGATCTTTTTGGATTCGATATGACTTTTGCGAATTGCTCTGTCAAAATTTTTAATTAGAATTGAAGATCGTTAAAGGATTAGTCATTAAACTCGAGGTGAAATAATATTTGATGACACCTGAGGATTTCTTTGGCTGAGAAAATTTTCCACTGAAAGTTTATTGAAACTCTCTCGACTCTCGTCAAATATTTAATTATTTAACAAGACGTTAATGAATCTTTTCTTCAATCTAGAGAAGAGAAGTTTAATGTTAGGGAAGAAAAATCTCTTGAAAGATTTTTGTTGACTTTTTGAATTTATAAATAAATATCTATTTTAATAAAGAATTTTCTTCGTTGATTCTATATTTAAATTTAATTAATCTACGGATATAAATAAATGAATAAATATGCAAATGTGAAATGGGAAATGAAAAAGTAGAAATAAATAATAATCTCTTTTAAAAGAAAATTTTTTTTCCACTCGATTTTTAAATTTTTCAAATTGAAAAATTTGTCTCTTAAAAAAAAATATAAATAGAATTAGATAACTTGTTTTTTTTCCACAACCAAATATTTCTTTATGATATTAAGATACTCTTTCTCTCTGGACATTGACCTCACGTCATCTCCACAGTCATCAGGTGCATCAGTAAATTTCATCATGAATTTAATAAAACAAATTCCTTGGAAGTGTTTCAGAGATAATATTCCATAAAGAAAAAAATGGTAGAAGGCCTTGCATTAACCAGTTTGTGCAAGTAGGTGTAAAGTTGTAATGGAATTTTTCGATATCATCATTAATCAAGTGTTAGAATCCTTGAGGATGAGAATCATTCATTTTTTATTATTTTGTTAATAAAAAATTACAAAGATTCGGTAAAATGGAAAAATATCTCGTTTTATTTTGAGTTTTTTAGTTTCCCGGTGAATTTGAATTGAGATGTTTATGATGGGGGAAATTTATTGTTAATTATTTATTTATTATTGATGATTTATTGAGTTTTAATGGAATTTAATTGGAATTCTTATTGAATCGGGGATTTTTATTCCATGGCTCACAGGATCGAGTAGATGTTCGCGTGATGAACTCATAAACTTGAGATTTTGTTGCATTAATCTTTAGAGTAAATAATGAAGATAAATTAAAAGCTTGTAAGTGGGCACTGATAAACAGAGAGATATCATGTGAGAAAAATATGCTAATCCCTAAATACCCGAGGAGCAGATAGATGTAATTTTGTTTGAACCTCGATTAGAATCAGAAGCAGTGGATTTCAGGAGAAATATCAAAAGACCTTTTTTGTGGAAAATTTAAACAGCTACAAAAATGGTTTATAACATTTTCTCGTAAAATCAATATTTTTTAAGATAAATGGGTAATTCGCTGGAGGTAAACTGAAATGAGGTGAAAAATGCGTTTTAATAAAAAATCGATTGATCAAAAATTATTGATTTTAGGAGAAAATGTCAAAAGCTCTTTTTTGTCGGAATTGAAATAATCTTTGAAAAAGTTCTTTAT